GGCCATAAAAAAACACATTTTATGTATAAAATGTGATTTGGGGGCGTCTGACATTGAATCTCTGGTCAATGTTTAAAAAAACAAGGTTGGTTTAAACTGTAAATTCACAATGTGAGGGAGAAGCACAGCCTCATCTTTCTCTCTTGACTCAGTCGCGACAACTTTGCTTGTTTTGTGTGCGTTTGCAATACGTCTTCGAATTCAACACTATTCTATTAGAACCACGAAATTATATTCCCTCAAGGTGTTACTGAGATATCGCAAGGACCAGACAAACATTGGGCCACAGGATGGAGGCATGAAAATTAAAGGTAGGAATCAATAAAAAAAGAACATTAATAAAGATATGGAACTGAATTCAAAATGACTTTCGTAGCTTTTGCAGAAAAGAAGTTTGAGCGAGTGCAGCAGACCTCGATCGATCTCTGAGGTGAAGGTCACCGTGACACATTTTACATTTCTTAACAGTCACACTTTTTTTTTTTTGGCAAACTCAGACTTTATCATGGAAATGAGCATCACTTTGTGCAGAGGAGATATCGGCTGCGGGGGGAAATATCGCGTGTGGCCAGGCCCACAGCTCTGATGTGTTAGGAGGGAAACTCTGCAGCTGGGTGTCCAGGTCTTTATTCACCTGCCTCCTCCGCCTCTGTGTTTATAAAGGAGAAGGTGAGCTGCTTCCTACAGCACTAAAAGCTGAGGTTTAAAAAAAAAAGCTTCCACACAAAAGAATCGCACGTCTACCGGCTTTTCACAACAGCTGTGGCCATGACAGGCCCCAAAGCTCCTGCTGAGGCAGGCGGAAAGAAGAGGAGCCCAGTTGACAAATCCTTTTAGAGGTAAGAGTGCAGCGCCGAGCGAGCCAGCTGCGGCGGAGCTCCGGTTTTTCGGATGCGCGCTCCAGAGAATCGCAGCTACTTCATTAAAATGTAATTGACTGCGCCTGCTCCTCTTCAGTGTTGATACAAACGGCTCGTTGGCCGGCAGCTCTTGACATTTCGCTGTCTGATCCGAGTGCGATCTCACCTGCTGAGAGAGCATGTGGCATTTCACAGAGAGTAATAATTACCTAGCTACAGATTATTTCTTTGTCCCGTGTCAGCGCGGCGGCGGCGGCTGAAAAGGTTGAGGATTTACTCCTCGGCCAGCAGCTCTTCACATTTTACAACCTCCACTCGTGTGATCGTTATACACTCTCGGCTGCATGTGACATTTCCAAGCAATCAATAATTAGATGTGCTGTGTAATTTTGTCTCTGGAGTGAAGTAGCGGTGACATTAAAAAGATTATTTTGGCTCCTGTGGATAAAATAGACCCAAGTCTGTCAGATCTTATCCTGCTGATACGAGTGGCTTCGGTTTAATATCAGCTCATTCAACTTTCATTCATTCATTCCGAAATATGAGTGTGCCTGAGTGTCCGTATGTTCTTAATGGAGCCGGAATCACGAGCTTGTTAACTTGACCCGAGCGTTGAAACTGGAAACTGGGGAAAGCATGTGGGCGTTGCCTGGCTTCAGCATCCGGGGTCTTGATGGAGGTGTGCGCTCTAGTGAGGGCCGTTCTACTTAGTTTTATTCTCACAAGTACAGACAACTAATTACACTGGTTCACTGGTTCATTTGTTTGTTTGTCAGCCGCTTTACACAAAAACTACAGAACAGATCTTTGTGCAATTGGTGTGGATCAAAAAAAAAATCAATCTGAACTAGTTTATTTAAATGTGGCTTCAAACGGGGGAATGAGCTTCGGCGAGCAAAAGTCACATTTTCCACAATTTGTTTGCAGTTAAGAGGAAATGACAAATCCATCTTGAAAACAAAGAAGCGAGCCTCATGCAAAAAGGTAAAAAAACAACAGAAATCTTGTGTGAAGTCAATGAACCCTGAACTTCCTCGATCCCGTCCTCTTTCCATCTCGTGCCGCTTGTCTCTGAAAGACGTGCACTTCTTTCCGACAGCTCCAGTGAAGTGACAGAATCGTTTCAGGATCTGTGTTTTAACTTGTTCGTGAATCCTGCAGTCAGCCGTGCCAGCGTCGTTAGCTGCGGCTCTCGGCTGGTGAGCAGCGGTGTCTTGTTGGTATGAGCTGATGTTTGCCTGAAGCTTTTTTTTTTTTTTTTTTCTTTTTAAAAATGAACTTTATCCCGCATTTTTTCCTCAGGCTCACGCATGTCAGGTCCTGTTCTGCGTGTCTCTGTGCTCACATGCTCGGCCAAGTTCAACTTCACAGACGAGCAGCAGGGACCGAGAGTCGGGTCGCGGTTTGGAAAACAGCGGCTCGACTCTCGACTGTGAGGCTGCTGTGTCGATAGAACAAACTTCACGATAACTTCCTGCGGTGCACGAGTGTGAAGGAGCGACTTTTTGACAGAGATGTACTGACGTGTGCTCGTTTAATCGTGGCAGTGAGAGCTCTCAGGTCTGTCAGCGTCTCTCCGTCAGCCCCGTCTGCCCGCCTGTCTTGTGTGTTAGTTCGGGGAGCGTGGGTCGACACTGGGCTGCAGAGGTTGGTCTTGAGGCTTTGTCCTCACATCACCACAGCTGATTGCTCCTCTGGATGGTTGGGATTCTCAGCTAAGACAGGGATTACTGACCCATGTCGGCTTCCCACCTTTACAGCAGCCATTTTGATGTTTGCCCAGTCGGCTCCAGAGAATTGAAAAGAGTGTGTGAAGTGTGTGTGTGTGTGTGTGTGTGTGTGTGTGTGTGTGTGTGTGTCTAAATCCTTGAAAAGATAACTTAAATATATTTTTCAACAGACACATGAAAACTCTACAAGGTCAATTGTGAAGGTGAGAACGACACATGGTGAAAAATACAGTCTTCATTCGTTCTACTTTCCATTTATGTGACAAAGTCGTGCAAATAATTCCGTTCCAATCAGACGGCTGAATAAAGTTCCTCATACATACTCAACCAAAATCATATTTACACTTAGGTGTGTGCACAGATTTTAAAAAAACGGGATACAGCATGTTACTTAATGAGCTTGGGCGACGCTGGTAGGCAGATTCTGGCTCATCGAGGTGTTTTCCAGTCTTTATGATGAGCTGAGCAAACCAACTGCAGCGTCACGTCTAACGCACGTATATGAGACTGGAACCAACCGTTGCACAATAAACAACAGTTATTAGGCTGGTGTGGAAATCGCCGGCCAACTTTTTCTACCACTTTGTTTGGTGACGATTTGCTTTTTTTAAATACAAATTGCACCAAATTGAACACAGCACTTCCTCGGGCCCTTAGCAACACACGTGACAAGTGTGAAGCCGACAAGATGAGCGCTTCTCGAGATGTGTCTTTCACACGCTGACAGATTTCTGCAATTATTAGATGATACTATTGTCAGAATTAAAAACTAAGAAACTTAAATCATACTTTTATCTTTGCAGCTTGTCGGCCACGAATACGTTTTTCACTGATTGTTTAAAGTACTTTGGACTCAGCTGCCCTGAAGAAGCTCCAGTAGTAGTAAACCTTCAAACTACTCTCTGTGTTTAATGTGAGATAATTGATGATATAATATGTCAACTTTTAATACTGCTGGTCGGATGGAAAACACAACACCATCTCACTCTGCTGCCAACTGCGATTACAAGTGAATATGGCGGTTTTCACTAAATGGTTGGGTCAGAGCGTGATCCGCAAAAAACCTATTTACTGCAGGGATTAGAAAACTTTAAAAGACTGACGGTTACAAAGTCCAAAAAACCCAATAGCTGACATTCCAGTGTACAATCAAGCTGTTTCATTCTGGAGTTCAATGGCTAACATTCCAGGCTACAGTACACAATCAAGCCATCTCATTCCGCTATGAAATGGGCTGAAGTTTCCATTGTGTCAGGGTAGTTATTAGCCCCAGAGACAGACAGAGCCAGCCAAGAGAGGAGTTAGGGCTGTCCGTCAGCCGCTAATGTCTCTACACAACAGCCCAAACCTAAACTGACAGGCACACACCACAGTGACAGCCCACTAACAACACACTATTGTTCCCTCGCAAACGGTCGGGGCACACCTTTCAGTGCCCACAGTGTGTGTGTGTGTGTGTGTGTGTGTGTGTGTGTGTGTGTGTGTGTGTGTGTGT